TCTTCGCGAATGGAAGGTCAATTATGGAAGTTGATTATTGACTTTGACAAGTCGCTGCAACGCGTGAACGAGAGTTCGAAGAACATTTCGTCTAAGGATGCTGAGTACTCGAAGAAGTTCTTGTCCCAAATGGACAAGCTACGTGCGCAGATTTCGAGCCTTTGTGATGAGATTAACAACTTGGATGAGTCGCGGGATCAGATCGAGAAGGACGTCTTGTTTGTCATTGGAAGTGACGGTGACGTGCACGAACAGCTCGAGTATGGTCGTGAAATCTTGGACAGCTTTAATGACGAGGGTCTTAAGAGAACACTGGAAGAGCAGCCACTCGACCAGCGATCAAAGGAAACGTGGGACTCATTGAAGAACAAATTGAGTGAAGTAGAAAAATGCTGCGTCGAGCTCGACAGCCACCTCTCGTCTTCCAAGATCGGAGTCGATGCAACTGGCGCAGTGTCTTCAGCACACTTGTTCCGTGTGTTGAAGCAGACCTACGACAACTCAAAGATGCAGTACAACAAGGCATGCAAGCTGGCTGAACAGCTGGAGAAGCTGAGTTTGCGTGGCGACCACATGCGTCAAACTAACGGTGTTCGTGGGATTTCCGGCGAAGCTGAAGCTCACACTGCAGCGACCAAGGCGGAGATGGTTCAGATGATTGTGGAGACCGAACAACGCAGCCAAGACGTGCGTCGCAACTTCTTGGCTCTATGCAACAACGTTATCACTCCTCGTGATGTCTTCTCGACCCCGCGACGCAAGCTGGCACCTCCCACGCCATCCAAATCCTCGAACTCGCCGCTTAGGGTCAAAGCCTGCAGCAAGTTGATGCCAAAGACACAGTTAAGCGTTGCCTCCCCCATGAGCACAGCAAAGCAGTCATCGCAGTCTGTTTCGTTCAAGGAAACTCCCGTTAAGTCCGGGTCGAAGCTGTTCTCGCTAGCGGAGGCTATGGCACCGAAGGAGGAGCCTGCCAAGCTTGTCCAGACGCCTCAGCCAGCGAAACCGAGCGTGGGTGTTGGCAAGGCCCCCCAAAGACCAAGTCTAGGAGCTCCGGCTGCAGAGACGAAGCCCACAGCGACTGCAGCGAAGCCGAAGAAGGGTACAAGTGCGTTTGGAGCGCCAGTGGCCAAGGAGGAAGAGAATAAGACCACGTCGACTGCATCGTTTGGTGGGTTTGGAGTCAACTCACCGGCAGTCAAGCGAAAGGCTGAGACGAACCCGGCGCCTGCTTTCTCACTAGGAGGAAAAGAAGCACCAGCATCATCTGCCTTTAGTTTTGGATCCAAGGAGAAGAGCCCAGCACAGCCAGCTACAACATCTTCTACGAACTACAAGGCACTTCTGGAAGCGTTTTACAAGGTGCACAACCCGTCGAAGACTGGAAGTGTGATTGACAAGGCTTTGGCGACGTATAAGGGCAGAGAGGAAGACTTGTTCACTCGACTCTTCACGATGTACGTCCCGGATTCGACGCCTGAGGATGTCAAGAAGTATTTAAACGGAGGACCAGTTCCTCCAAAATCTGATACTGTGGCTGCTTCCAAGTCTCCTGCACCTACCAGTACAGCAGCGAAGAGTCCGTTCGGTGGGTTTGGAGCGTCCACATCGACACCGAATAGCGCAGCCAAGCCCAGTCCGTTCGGAGCGTCCCCGTCGGCGTTCAGTCTCGGCCCAGCTGCCAACACGTCGTCTGGCTTCGGCGGCTTTGGATCCACAGCGACAAATGCTTCTACAACTACAACAACAACGCCGTCCCCCTTTGGTCAACCCGCTGTCGACTACCGTCAGAAGTTGGTGGAGTTCTATCAGAAGCACAACCCGGACAAACTCAGTAGTGTGGATGCCACGCTGCAGAAGTACAAGGGCAACGAAGAGAAACTCTTCCAGAATCTCGCGCTCAAGTACAAGGTAAATGCAAGTCCGGCCGTGCAGCCTGCGAATCCTGCTACAGCAAGCCCGTTCGGTAAACCAGGAGCATTCTCAGCACCCAGTACATCAACTGGAGCGTCGTTCGGGTCTACAAGCTCGGTGGGTTTCGGCGCTGCAAAGCCTGCGCCCAGTGCGTCTCCGTTCGGTGCAGCTGCGGCTCCTGCTTCGTCTCCATTTGGTGCTACGTCTCAAACGTCCACTGGCTTTGGGTCTGGTGCAAGTGGATTCGGCGGCTTCCAGTCCACTGCGACGACTCCGGCGTTCGGCACTCCGTCTGCATTTGGCACGACAGGAGGCTTCGGAGCTGCTGGTGTCAACTACCGCGAGAAGCTCACAGCTTTCTATCAACAACACAACCCTGCAAAGCTCAGCTCCGTAGACGCGACGTTGGAGAAGTATAAGGGACGTGAAGATCACTTGTTTGCGATGCTGGAACAGAAGTATGTCAAGAAGACCCCGACAGCGGCGACTGGAGGCTTTGGCATTCCCAGTACCACGGCGTTCGGTGGAGGTAGCGGCTTTGGTGCACCCTCGGCTCTAGGAGCGACTGCGGCCCCTGCGTTCGGCTCTGCCTCAACTTTGGGAGGTACAGCACAGCCAGCATTTGGAGGAGCTGCAGGCTCGGGCTTTGGAATGGCGTCGCGCATGGGCGGAGGATTTGGTTCGGCTGCTCCTGCTGCGCCGAGTGGCACAACTACTGGCTCAGGATTCAGCGCTTTCGGTTCGCAGACGCCGTCGTTTGGTGGAGCTGCGCAACAGTCTGGTGGCTTTGGTGCTGCTGGCAGTGGAGGCCTTGGATCTGGTTTTGGTGGTGCGGCTACAGGTGGTTTTGGTCAACCGGCAGCGTTTAGTAGCTCCAGCTTCACTCAGATGCGGTGAGTGACAAGAAGAAGCGTGTAGCTTGGTACGACGTAGATAGTAAGTAAACCGAGATAAACATGATAACCAAGCTTTTGCAACTTCCAGGTGAAAACCCGTACAAACTGGTGAAACTTACCATCAGTTTCTACGGGTTTTCATGAATGCCAGATAGAAGGGTGAGGCAAAATTGTAGGATACCGTTCAACCAGTCATTTTTTTCGTTTATTGCCACTGTTTCCGCGTAAGTTGTCATTTGCCAAACGGAGCAGATTGA